AAGCTCCATGAAGTTGCAACAAGATCTCCCAATCCTGTATTCTGTGTTCCAGCTAACGAAGACAATGTGCCGCCTTCATCACCCTATCTGCCTGTGCTGACATCTACAGGGATCTGTAGACCTGTACGCCAAGGTCCTTTTGTTCCTCAGTGTTCCCTTGGGACCTACCATTCATTGTATATATCCTTCCCTTATTAGACCTCCCAAACTGCATCACCTTGCACTTACCAGGATTAAATTCCATCTGCCATTGGTCTGCCCAATTTGGTAGCTAATCAATATCAGACTGTAGCCTGTGACCATCCTCCTCACTGTCAAAAACATGACCAATTTCGTGTCATCTGCATCTTTACTAATTATTTCTTCATCATTCACATCCAAATTGTTGATGTACATAACAAATAGCAAGGATCCCAGCACTGATCGCTGAGGTGCACTGTAGGTCACAGACTTCCAATCACAAAAACAACCCTTCACTATTACCCTCTGTCTCCTATTTGGAAGCCACTTTTGGATCCAGTTTCTGACTTGTCTTGGATCCCATGGGATCCTACATTTTGGACCAGTCTTTCATTCGAGACCTTGTCAGATGCCTTAGTGAAGTCTATGTAAGCACGTCAACTGCACGACCCTTATCAATATATTTAGTCAGCTTCTTAAAAAAATTGAATTAAATTAGTCAGACAAGATCTCCTTCCAACAAATCCATGTTGACCATCCCTGATCAATCCCTGTCTTTCCAAGTATTGATTAATCCTGTCCCTCAGATTTTTTTCTAAAAAATTTCCCAACCACTGACGTTGACTAACTTATCTGTAATTACTTGGCCTATCCTTGCTGCACTTCTTGAACAAAGGACCCACATAAGAAATCTTTCAGTCATCTGGCATTTCACCCGTGACCAGCAAAGTATCAAATAGGTTTGCCAGAGCCCTAGCAATTTCCTTCCTTGTCTCCCATTGTCGCCTTAGATATAACTCATCAAGCCTGGGGGAATTTATGCATCTTTGTGCCTGCCATGACATATAATACCACCTCCTTACTAATCTTAATACACTGGAGAACCTCACCATCTCAACTGAAATATCCAGCTACAATGTCTTTCTCTTGTGAATACAGATGAGAAATATTCATTTAAGAACCCACCTCACTTCCTCTAGTTTCACGTTTTGGAATAACAAGGAGTCTATTACTACTGATGTCGGATTAATGACCTAATATGATAACTTTGTTTTTCTGTCTATACGGGTGCTGCTTAGTCTGCTTGGTTTTTCCATGCCTTCTGTTTTTTTTATTTTCAGTTTTCAGCATCTGCTGTTTCCTGCTTTCTTATGAATATTATTTGACTGATTATGGTTCTTGGTTGTCATATTTTTAGCGCATACTGCAGTTGCTTAGGTTAGAGACTAACTAAACACAATTTTAAATTCTGGCTCCTCTGATAGTTTAGTGAGTTTAGTTGTACCTGTGGATGTGAGTTATATAGACCAGCAGAGTATGGGTTGGTAATGCAGACTTGGAAATCGCCCTGATATCATGGTAGAACTTATGGTGAAGCTGTCAGCACATACTTTTACAAAGGGCCACTTAGATAGCAATTTCTAACATTTACACATGCAGTTAAACTGGGAAATCAGGAAATTACTGCCATAATTACATTGTATTCTCCTGAAAGCTTTACTAGTGCTTCTCTGAGAGAAGCAGCATCCAAATACTTGGAAAAATGTGAATTTGCGCTACTTATGTGATAAATGCAACAAACCAGAAAAACTTTGGAAACGAAAACAAAAGGTGCTGGAGAAACTCAGCATGTCTGGCAGCATCTGTGAAGAGAAAGAAGTGTCAGTGTTTCAGATCTGGTGACCCTTCTCCAGAACCACTTCAGAACCATGCAGCAAGATCGGCTCAGTTTCTCCAGTAATTTTTGTGTTTGTTTTGGATTTCCAGTAAACGCAATTCTTTGGTTTTTGTTCAGAAAACGTTTGGGCCTGCTCACTTGCATTTAAGTGAACTTTCGCTGCAATAACAAATTGTACTTGTGTAACATGTTCAACTTTAGAAAAATGTCCCTAATGTCATCAAACTAAATTTGATATTGAGCATCACAGGGAGATATTACAGCAGATGGTCAAAATCTTGGTTAAGGAGGCACGTTTTAAGAGGTGCCTTAAAGGAAAAGAGTGAGGTGTGAGTGGAATTCCTTCCCTAATGACATTGTGGGTCAACCCACAGCAGGTGGATTGCAACAGTTCATGAAGGCAGCTCACCACCTTCTCAAGGGCAATGAGGGACAGACAATAAATGCTGGCCCAGCCAGTGATGCCCACATACCACAAATGAATCTTTAAAAAAAGATGGAGGGGTTTAAGGAGGGAATTTCAGAGCTTTGGCATTTGAAGATACAGCCACTGATGGTGGAGGAATTAAAAGCAGGGTGCAAAGGAGGTCAGAATCGGTGGAGCACAGATGTCTTGGAGACTTATAAGCCTGAAGGAGATCAGAGATAGAAAGTTTTATAACACGGAGACAGAAGCTAAATCAAATCGGCCTTCCTATCTCAGTATTCACAACACAGTAAAATTAAAATAGTTAATGACTCTCTTAATTGACCCCAATGGTTACTAATCAGACTTTGAACAACCAGTACCAGACTTTGTGAATAACCAACACCAGGTTTCTAGTGTAAACAAAATAGTTAACAATTTATTAATAATACAGTAGCTTCATCACAGCAAAGTTAAACCACAAGGTAATCTAGTTAATGTCTATGATTTATGGGCAAGCCTATTTAATTCTAGCCCCCATTCTCACATGAAGACAGATAGACAGACAAAGTTAAGGGATAAATCAAAAATCAGAACAGACAGTTTATTTAAACAGACTCCATGATCTGAATTGTCACTGGTACAAAGGATTATATCTTGCTTAATTTATGTCAACACTGATGCATGTATATATCTTCCAGTAGCCTCTGAGAAATATTCACTTCACTCTTATAACTGAGATTCTATTCGCTAAGCTGATAATTAGAGGATAACCTGGGAGCAATCAAACCTGTGTTCTGTAGCGTTCACCAACACACATCTTTTTCCCCAAACACAGTCCAAAAATGAGTTCAAATTTTGGCCTCTCTATACCAGACAGACAAGATCCCAGTAAACAGCTGCCATCTGTTTGAGTGTAATGCGTCTCTGGAGTCAAAGTGTCTATGGAGCACTTTTTAACGAGTCAAGCTGCAATGAACTTTCAAGCCTCATATACCTGATGATTGTTCTCCCTGTTTGTAAACAAGCTGCAGCTCACAGTCCAGAAGCCACCTTCAGTTCACAGCTCCAAGCCAAAAGTGATTAATTAAAATAATAAAAAGTCAGTGAGGGTTCTAACAAAAGGGACAATAGCATGCAATGAACTGCCCATTCACACCAGAGTACAGCAAACAGGCCATTTAGTTAGCCACCTCCTTGAGATACATGCCCTTCAGATATCCTCAGCATTCCTGGGTGGAGTTGGAGAAACTCTTGATATCTGTGATGGAATGTGCATGTGACAGAGGATAGCATTGGACTTGGTTATGGTTTCCCTACAAGCTGTACAGGCCACCCCTTACAGACTGATCAGCCGGATTGGCTAAAGCGGCAACAGTAACATGAAAATTTTTTTTGTATGTATGTGCCAAGTGGTTAGAATCTTGAATTAACTGTCTGAGCGTGTGACGGAGGCAAAACTAATTGTGGCTTTCAAAAGAGAATTGGACAATTATCAGAAGGGAGAAAAATATCTTGGAGCACAGGAGAAAGGCAAGGGGTGTGGAGGTAGGCCAGCTGCAATTGCAGAGAGCTGAAACAGTGAAGGTGAGCCAAATAGCCTCTTCCTGTACAGTGAATTTTCTGTGATTTTATGGATGAGGCACCGCTGGTGTCTGTGGAGCCTTAACCCAACATGAGTCATTACTGTCAGGAAAGGGATTACAGCAAATACTTTGAAGCAGAAGATTTTGTTGCTGTGTGATAGAACGAGGTTTCTGTCCACACAATATAGTGAAATACTGAGTGAATATTAGGTCCCTTGTCGAAAGGGCACAAGAAATGTGAGAGGCTTTAATCATCTTGGACTCAAGCCACCAGCTATCTGTACCATCTAGAAGTATAAAGGCTGGAGGTACATGAGTAAACTGATCACTTCCAACTTCTCCTCTGATTTACCCATCGTTCCAACTTGGAAGTATATTGTTGTCCCTTTATAGCTGGGTCAAAATGTTGGAATTTCCTACATAACAGTATGGTGTGAGTACTTTCACCAAGCTGAGTCTGCAGTCGTTCCACAGTATGGCCCACTATCACTTTCTTGAGGGCAATTAGGGATGGGCAGTAAATTCTGATCTTTCTAGGACATTTATACTTTAAGGTTGAATTAAAAGAGTAGGCCTCGTTGCTGGACTTCCTGGTTTAGAAGCAGTGTGAGCAAAGGTCTAGGAGCAGGTCATCTATCCTTCTCTAGTATAAGAGATTAGCATCAAAAGTTTAGCATCGTCTGGGGAAGTAAGTGTCTGTGCTGCACACCAGTAATCATGGGCGACTTTTTCAGTGGAAGTTGTGCTGGCTGGAGGGTGAAGATCTTTCTCAGGAAGTTTAATCTTAAATTTTTGTACAGAGCTTTTCAGTTTAACAAACAATTTGCTTGATTATCTTGTAAATAAAACTTTATTTCCATGTCTGAATACTGATGTTAGGGTTCACGTTATCAGCCTGTAGCAGCAGAAACTTCATGTTACACGGTAATTCTAGATGGCAAACTGTATGGAAGTATTCTATCAAATATGCAATATTTAGCAAAAGAAATTAAGATTGCATGGTAGTGTAGTCTGGTCGTTTTCCTTGTGTATAACTAGTTTTGCAGATGATCAGCAATTATTGTGACGCTAATTTGTAAGTTGTGTTCTGCCCTTAATTGAATATTTGGGTTTCCTTTGCAATTAACTGTTCTTTCAACACTTCCGACAGAGCTGCAGCTAATGGCCTATCACTCAGTTTGATGGAACGGCTAATCCAGAGATTTGGTGAACAGGTGGTGAGAATGCTGACTGTACAGTATCGAATGCATAATACGATCATGGAATGGGCCTCCAAGCAGATGTACAATGGACGACTTACGGCTCACAAGACGGTGGCACATCATTTGCTAAAGTAAGCATGGTAATAAAGCAAAAAGTGCTGGAAACGTTCAGGCAGTATTGAGAAAGAAAAATGCTTAATATTTCAGGTCAATAGCCTCTCATCAGAACCGGAAATTGTTGAATATGTGACAGTTTTAAACAGTCCCATTATGACCTATTTGACATCCTATCTATTAGCCTCCATTAATGTGAGTCCATCCAAAACTCTGATGATTCTTTTCCAAACTTTCACATTTAACTTTCTTGTTTGCACATTAACTTAATGCACACTGACATACACTCGCTCCTGTATGGCAAAGCGTCAATTTTTGAAATGCCCATCCTTTTTCAAATGTCTTCAAGTTGGGTGTCACTCCTTTCTATCTCTGGAGCCCTCCCCTGACTTTCAGTCTTTCTACATCTCGATGCTCTGCTTTTTTATGTCAAACTTTGATTTGATAAAGTTTATGAAAATCCTGGGAGCATTTTAAGAATATAAGAACATAAGAAATATTGATAAGAATAGACCATTTACTCCTAAATCTGGCTGTTCCTAAATTCAGTGAAATCTTGGCCTTAGCTCCACTTGACTGCCTACCATCTATAACCTCGACTTCCTTATAAATCAAAAATCTGTTTCATTCATCCTTGAGTATATTCAATATCCTAGCCTCAGTTATTCTTTTGGTTAGAAACAGCTCTCTGAGAAAAGAACTTGCTCCTCATCTACATCTTAAATGTGAGAATTTTATATTGAAACTGTCCCCATGAGGGGAAGCATCCTGCCACCATCCAACCTGCCAAGTACCTGCAGAATCTATACGTTTCCTAAAGATCACCTTTTATTCTTCTAATCTGCAATGCATATAGCTTCAACCATTCCACATAAGCCAACCCATTCTCCCAGGAATCCACCTAGTGAGCTTTCAGACATGTATATCCTTCCTTAAACAAGAAGACCAAACTTCTGGTACGCACTTAGCTATGCCCATTATGTGACAAGACTTACTTGCTCTTACACTCTTGCCTTGCAATGAAGGATAACATTCTATTTGTCTTACTTCTTGCTTGTTTAACCTACAAGCTAATGTCTTGTGATTCACGTACAAGGGCTTATTCTGGAGTCTGTCCATTTAAATCATATTCTGCTTTTTTATTTTTCCAGCCAAGTGGACAATCAGATTGTTCATTACCGACCAGATTTTTGACCACTCACTCAATGTATCATAGCCCTTTGCAGACTCTTTATGTCATCCTCACAACTGGTTTTCCTACCTATCTTTGTATTGCCTGCTAATTTGGTGACCATGCACTTGATTTCTTCATTGAAGTCATTAGTATCGATCACAAATAGTTGAGACCCCAGTTATTAATTGCCCTATGGCACTCCACTAGTTGGAGTTTGGCAGTCTGAAAATGACACAGTTATTCTGAGTTTGAGTTACGTGTTAGCTTATCTCTGTCCATCCTAATCTATTACCTGCGACACCACGAGCTCTTATCGTGTATGGTAACCATTAATGTAGCACCTAATTGAATGCCTTTTGGAAATCCAAATGCACTACATTTACTCATTCTCTTTTATCCACCCTGCATGTTGGATCCTCAAAGAACTCTAATAAAATTGGCAAACACAATTTCCCTTTCAAGGAACCATGCCTAATAGTGTTATGATTTTCTAAGATGTCCTGCTACTAATTCCTGAGTAATAGATTCCAGCATTTACCTAATGGCAGATGTTAAGTACATTTTCAGTTTTTTTATGGTGGAGACAAGTATAAACTACTTGTTCAAAATCTGTCCCATTTCCTACATTCTCCAGTATCATAGTCTGAAGGACGAACACACTCTTTAGCTACTTTTTAGTTTTATGTAATTGTAGAAGCTTAATATTTGTTTTATTTCTGGCTAGTTGACTCTTATTTTTAAAGTCATCCTTTGCTGGTTTCTAAAAAAGATTCCAATTATCTTTGTAACATTATACATGTTTTCTTTCAGTATAATACAATCCAGTTTCCTTAGTTAGCCACAGATGGTGCGTCTTCTCGTAGAGTTTTTCTTTCTTGATGGAATGCTCCTTTTATTGACTGGCCTGAAATCTCATCTAATGTGAGCTGCTGCTTATCTGTCATTTTACCTTATAATCTATTTGCCCAATCCACTGTAGACAATGGTCTTTATTCATTTTTTTAAAATTGTCTTTATATAAATTTAGGACTCTAATTTCATATCCAAGTTTCTCATTAACAAGCCAAATGTGAAATTCTGTCATGTTACGATCACACTTGCCTGTAAGATCCTTTACTGAGATTAGTAATTACATGTGGCTGATTATACTTAGAGGTTTAAACAGCCTGCTCCCTAATTGCTTCCAGAACAACTGTTCAAATCAATTATCACTCTATGACCTCATCCTCAAGCCTACCTTTGCTAATTTGGTTCATCCAATCTATTTGAAAATTAAAGTTGCCCATGATCATTTCTCAGAAGTTCCCATTATTTCTTGCTGTACAGCCTGGCCTAAATTGTAGCTAATTTTGGGGGGGGTTAGGGTTTAAAACTACTCCCATTAATGATTTATGTTCCTTTGCTATTTCTTATTTCCACCCAAACTGATTCTACACCTTGGTCTTCTAGGCCAAGATCACTTTTCACTGCTGTGCTAATTTCAGCTTTTGTTAACAGCTAACCTATCTCCTTTTCCATTCTGCCAAATTATCTGAAATGTCTATTTTTCTTGAATATTCGTGTCTCTGCTTTGATCACCTTGTACCCACTTCCTTAATGGCTATCGTCTCATATCAGAATTTATTTCAAGATGTTGCAGCATATAACTTTTTAAATAATGAGTCAAGTGTGGATAAAAATCAATAATGTTTCTTCTGGGTGATCGAACACTTCAGTGCCTTGTGCCTTGTATGCACACTATCCCCATAATGCCATTGTTAATTTTATTTCAAGTATACTCAGAGACTGAGTTTCCACATCTCTCTGGAGTAAGAATTCTAAGGATTCACCATCCTCCGAAAGAAAAATTAATCTTGGTCATAAGTGGCATTGTCTTTTATTAAATTATCTCTGGTTGTAATTTACCCAACTAGGAGAGATACCATATCTGCATCTACTCTGCCTATACCATTAAGTAGTTTTTGGATTTCAATGGGAAATAGCAGTTCTTTTGCAAAATACTTCAGTTGCATGAGTGATGGGCAGTGCTGCATGGCTGATGCCGAGGGCTGACATGTGCAATTTTACAAGCTGGGGCAGTGCAGCAACACTGAAAGTGTTCAGCTGTCGTCCTAATTTTTGTTTAAACAAGCAATTGAAAGGAATAGGGTATTATTGGACTAAAAGGGGAAATTACAGCAGGTTGGCGTTAAATAAGCCTTTGGCTCAAAGTCTTGCCATTATGACCTGAAATGGCAGGTAACTTAAGGCAAGAGTCACAGTGCAGAAGCCAGAGATTTGTCAATTCTTATCCCTCCCTGATATATGATTTCTGATAAAATGGAGATGGTTTACTCATGAAAACAATATTTAAGTAAACTGTTGAATACAGAGCGCTTCAGTTAACAGATTGTCATCAACTTTTGAGAGTTTATGCAGCAGGTTTGTTTTGTAAAACAGATGTCTTGCAAAGCTCTTCTTAAACTGTTCTCCTGGCTCTGTCAACAATTGTATTAGTACTGATTACAGTTTAAAACTTCAAACTAAATTGCAACAGACTGCAAATTTAATTTATTAAAATGACATATGTCTTATATTTTGTGGTGAATCTGGTGACTCAGTCTCCATGAGTTTGACGAGCATCTTGGACAACACTGATTTACTTCACAAATAAAAAAAAACTTGCTGGAAAAACTCAGCAGATCTGGCAGCATCTCTGGCGAGAAAGCCGAGTTAACGTTTTGAGTCTGGTGACCTTTTTATAACTCTGCTTTCTCTTCACAGATGCTGCCAAACCTGCTGAGCTTCTTCAGCAATTTCTGATTTTCGTTTCAGATCTCCAGCATCCATTGTTTTTTGGATGTTTTCTTTCTGTCTACTCGTCGACTTCATATTGCTTCTTACTCTTTCTGAGCCCTAGCCAAACTACAGTCCTACCTAACATAAAATGAGATGGCTCTGATTGTTGGAGGTTAATTACCCCAGTCCCAGGGCATCTCTGCTGGAGCAGGTCTGGTTAGTCTCTAGGCCCAACTATCTTCAGTTGTTTCTTCAATGACCTTCCCTCCAACATAAAGTCAGAACTGGGAACTGGCAATCATCAATGTTCAGCAATTCCTCAGATGCTGAAGCAATCCATGCCCGTATGCAGCAAGACCTGGAAAATATCTAGGCTTGGGCTGATAAGTGACAAATAATATTTGTGACACAAAAATGCCAGACAGGATGATTTCCAACATGAGAGAACACCACTACCTGCAAATTCCCCCTCCAAGCCAAACAACATCCTGACATAGAGCTTTATTGCTGTCCTTCACTGTCGCTGTGTCAAAGTTCTGGAGCTCCCACGGTGGCTCAGTGGCATTTCTGCCTCACAGCTCTAGAGACCCGTGTTCAATTCCAGCCTTGGGTGACTGTCTGTGTGGAGTTTGCACATTCTCCCCTGTGTCTGCGTGGGTTTCCTCCGAGTGCTCCAGTTTCCTCCCACAGTCCAAAGATGTGCAGTTTAGGTGGAGTGGCCATGCTAAATTGCCTAAAGTGTCCAGGGATGTGTAGGTTAGGTGGATTAGCCATGGGAACTTCAGGGATAGGGTAGGGGGGTGAATCTGGGTGGAATGCTTTTCAGAGAGTTGGTGTGGACTGGTTCAGCTGAATGGCCTATTTGCACACTGTAGGGATTCAATGATGATATGATTCTAACAGCACTTTGAGTGTGCCTAAAACCCAAGGACTGCAGCAGTTTCAGATGGTAACGACACACCTCCACATTCTCCAGGGCAGTTAGGATAGGCAATAAATGTGGCCTGGCCAGTGACCTCCAGATCCCTTGAATTAAATTTGTAAAATAATTTAAACACTGATGGTGCCAAGCTGATTGTCAAGTGCTGGAAGTTCTTGAGATTTCAAATCAATGAGTAGAGATCAATACTCAAGTAATACTCTATAGCTATATGGTCATCCACTCAATAAGGAATGATGTCTGCTCATTTAGATTGCCTTATCTTTCCCCAAAGGCTGATTTGTTCTTTGAACCATGTTGCAACTTGTTGAGGATTTTGTCAGCCCAGGAGAGTTGTGACTGGAGCTAATCAACACTAGCAACTAAGTTATACTGTCTGTTGACCTTGCAATGAAAAGGGAATTAGAGATTCTTGAAACTCTCATTCAAATCCCTGTGCTTGTGTCCATACAGTCAGCTTCCTTCATTTGGATACCAGTGGAATGACCGTATAAAAGGCTGCCTGAATAAGTAAATCTGCACTAAAATTACTCCATCTTGAAGTCACCTTAATTCTAGTTTTACAGTCAAGTTCAGGATTCATGGCATGAGCTTCTGTTTGATGCAAGAAGGTCAGACCTAAAATTCATCTCCTGGACACACACACACTGCAACATTGACTTTCCAACTTTCATCAAGTTCCACTTGTCACCAATCCCAAATTTCTTTAGCCTATGTTTGTTCCTGTGTTCTCGCACATAGAATTTAATTCAAGATCCCTGTCTCAGTCTTTAAATTACACCAATGTTTTGTTGCCCCCGAACTCTGCAGTCTCTTGTTGTCCTATGTATCCCACACCCTCGGTTGAATATTTTTGTAACCTCTCTCTTCAAGCACTCCAGATTGTCTTTCAGGTCTCACTGTCTGTCCAGTTTCTCTTCTTTTCTGACACCCACTTTTTAACATCCCTTTAACAACTTTTCGGTCACTCTGTCTTATCAATCACATCCTGGTTTGCTGTCATTATTCCCAGAGGTGATATACGCCTCAGGGTTTTCTATGTTAGTAGTTCCTAATTAAAAGCATATAGTTGGCTGTTGTATTTTGCAACATTATTAGAATGTTGGCCTTTAACTCAAATGGGGGTTGGCATTTAAAAATGAGAAACTGATACCCTTAGTTGCACAAAGCCTTGGACAAACTGCATCAGAAACACTGCATTTAGTTTGAGCACCAGACATTAGGAAAAATAGCCTGGCAGTGGAAGATGTAGAACATGGATTCGCACAAACAATACTAAGGTTTACATGAGCATTGATTTGTAATTCGTGAAATTTAGTGTTTGAGCCTTGTTTTGTTCATGGTATTTGGAACAAGAAAAGGATTGGTTGGATAGGTACAGAGAAGTTATTTTCTCTTGAAGCAGAAGCCAGAGCAGCATAATCTTAAAATTAGAATTTGAGTGCAAGAAGAATACGTGCCAAGGGTTATGGAAATCTAGACCATTCTGCTGTAAAAGATTATGGCTGCTGGTTTAGTTGGTATTTTCTAGATTGACGTTGATTGATAGATTTTGTACATTAGGAGTATGTAAAGTTGAGGTGTAGATCAGCCCTAACCGCATAATGGAGCAGGCTCCAGGAGTCAAATGGAATATGTTCCTTTCTCAATTGTATTTAAGTTGTTAACAGAAGCTTGGTTCAGCAGTTTTCCAGAACTTATTTTAAGTTTAACAAACGTGCATTTATTTCTTTGCACTGCTCCTTCCTAAAAACAACCATTGCTAATCCTTCCTCTTGTGATTTTGCTTCTTCCAGGTGATTTGCACAAAATGGTGCAGCTTGTCATTTATAGTCATGTTTATTTTTCATTAGGGTGGGTGGCATGTGGGTGATGTAGTCAACATGTGAGAATAGGTCAGGATTTGGATTTGAGTTCTGGGTAATGTTTTGAAAATTCACTGATATTCTGTAAATACATATGTCAGTGACAGACGTGTAACTGAGAACAAGAATGAGCAAGAGTTGTAAACTGTCTTTCTGTTAATATCAAGCTGTAAAAGTATTGAATTCGATCAAAACACCTCTCTGAAAATAGCTCCGCCAACTGTGAGGTGACGAACTGAGGAGGAGGTGGGAGGCAGGATGAAATTATTTTCATTCCTTCCAAGCTTCGAAGGTTAATAAAGACATCAGTGCTACCCAAAAATTAATTGCGTCCTGGCAGAATATTACTGTAGCAATTTTAGCAAAGCAGACCCCATACACCTAGACACACACTCCAAATAATCTTTTTTATTGACTGTTTGTGTGGGCTGATTTCTCTATTACAGCAATGCACGTTTTTTGATGGATGGCTATTTTTATGCTATTTTAGTTTTGCTATGTTATTACTTTGCTCCCATAGGGATCTGCCTGGGGTTTCTTCTACAGAAGAGACAAAGATTCCGCTGCTTCTAATAGACACTGCAGGATGTGGCTTGTTTGAACTTGATGAAGAAGATGAACAATCCAAAGGAAATAGTGGTACCATATAATTAATGGGAGATAAATTGGAAATAATCATACTGATATAGCATTCCTCTACATAACAGAACCTGCTAAACAGAAGTAGGTTTCACCAAAAGATAAACTCCTGAGTATGTTATTTTTATTAAAATGCAAAATATGGCAGGTGATACAGATCTGAAAGTGCTGGAAACACTCAGCAGGTTCAGCAACATCTGTGGAGAGAAACAAGAGTTAATGTTTCAAGTCCAATGACTCTTCTTTGGAACTGAGAGGACTGGAAAACGATGTTTTATGTTGACACAGCAGGAGGAGGAGCAAGTTGTACGTATGGCATTATGCTAATATTTCCACCCCAGGCCTGCTGCAGTGAAGCTGGATGCAAATTGGAGGAGCAGTGCGTTGTTTTCTGGTTTAAAGCCTTCAGGGCTCATAAGTGTGCTAATCCGCTTCAGAGCATGAGCACTGTCCTCCATTTTGCCCCATATCCCTGTCCATTATACCGACACTTACCATCTGTGTACTGGTGGAATAGGTTTGCTGTCAGCAGAGCTGACCTATTTTCTACAATTCACACCAATCATTAATGTCTACTTTTCATGTCTATCATTCCTTCACTATCATTAGCATTTACTTTGGATACCCTCACTATCTATTCCATTCCCCACTTGTCAACAGCATGAAAACCAGTACCCTTCAATTCCAAGGAAGAGTCATGGGACTCAAAATGTTAACCCTGTTTCTCTTTCCACAGATCATGCCAGACTTGCTGAGTTTTGTCAGCACATTCTGTTTTTCTTTTGAATGATGTCTGTGTGTGAAATCTTGTATTGTTTTAAAAGGGAATCACAAATAATAATACAGCACAGAACAAAGCCATTTGGCCTTTGGAGTCTATGCTTGTTCTTTCAAAGAATAATCTTGTAATTTCCATTCTTTCCCCAAATCCATCCCTTTTTTACTCCTTTAAACACTTACCCGTCTCCATTCGAAGGCTAGTGTTAAAGCTGTGCCACGACCAGATCAGGTTCTGCATGCCAAATCCTAACGACTTGTGTTAAAAAGTTTTCCTTTATGTTGATTGGCAAAATTAAATATGATCACCTGAATATGTGCCTTCTGGTATGACCCTTTATAGCCATTGAAAACAATTTATTTTACCTACTTTATCTAAATCCTTCATAACTTTAAACACTCCTCAAGTCTTCTCTGCTCTAATGGAAACAACCCCAATTTTTCCATCTATTAGCATAAATGTAATTCTTTGTTCCTGGATTTATTCCAGTAAATAGCTTCTGTATCGTCTATAAAGCCTTCATGGCTTTGCTAAATAGTGTTGTACCCAATATCGGAGACAAACCACAGCAAGTGTAGAACTTCTGTTTTGTATAGGTTTAGCTTAAGCCCTTGGCTTTTTGACTGTCCAGTTTTATAATGCTCGTGATCCCATATGTTTTAACTGCTTTGGTAATCCGTTCTACTACCTTCAAAGATTTGTGCATAAACGCCCACAGGTCTTTCTGTTCTTGAACCACAAATTAGCTGACAACCTCTCCACATGGCCATGGCCACACTGCAGGTTGGAAAGTTCTGACACCTCTGCAATATTGTCTCTATCTAAGGCTTCAACCATGCTAATTGTCCATCCACTGCATGGGTGAGCAGCTAATCCTGTTAATGATCCAACCTAGGGATAGTTCATGGCAATGGGTCAGGGAGCAGTTATGATGAGGCTCCCCATATTTTCTTACTATGCACCTACAAAAATCAAGCCCAAGTTTTAAAGAAAATTTAGGTGGTTAAAGTGCTAGTTGATAAAGAATTACTGTAATTCTATTGCCTGTGAGACCATAAGCTTGAAAATCTCATCTGCTGGGCTGAGAAGTCCTTAATCCAAGATCATTGACAAAGTGTTATTCTCTTGGATTGCGACCACAAAAAAAAACAAGGTCAATAAAATGTTGAAGCAGAAAGCTTCAATAGCAAGCTATTACCAGATTCCTATCAAATACAAGAGAATAGTTATTTTGTTGAAGTAAAATCTGACAACCCACTATTATTAGGGAGCAGAACCTGTTCATGATTTTGTAAATTTTCTGAAGAAGGGTCTAGGCCCGAAACGTCAGCCTTCCTGCTCCACTGATGCTGCTTGGCCTGCTGTGTTCATCCAGCTCCTTGTTATTCATGATTTTGTAATGTTGGATGAGAACAAATTGTCCTGATTTGATTTCATTAAAATAACTTACTTTCTGGTTTATGGGGCCAAAAAAAAACAATTCTTACGTATTCCCAGATTTTTCTCAGCCTACCATTTAAAAAGATTGGACAGACTCTCAAACAGAATCCAGTTCTGATCGCAGGAATAATGTTGTTATGCCCTTAGATTTTATTATTAAGTCCATAGATAATGTGCACCATGGGTCAACTTTGACTTGTGGCTTGTGATCCACTTACAAAGCAATTCTTGCTTCTAAAAAAGTTTGTATGATAGATTAGAGTTTGTAATGCTACTGCTTAAATTGATTTTTATTCTAGGGGAGGTTCAAATTGTGACTCTGCACATTCAAGCCCTGATTGAAGCTGGTGTCCACCCTAAGGATGTTGCTGTGATAGCACCATATAATTTGCAGGTATAGTTCTTGATCCTTTTTCAAATGTTTTTGTATAGGTACTGCAATCATTTGTTTTTGATTTCTGGTATTGAGCTGTTCACATTTTAGAAGTTCTACTTACACACAAACAAAATCACATAAGTTTTGCAATCTAATTCCTAAAGTTTCTTTTATGAGTGTAGTTTGTGTGCAAATGGTTTGAAAGTGACAATATGTTGATCCAATGTGTAGTGCATTCAGTTTTCTGCACTTTTTTGATGATCACTGTTAATTTTCAGGTTTAGACATATTTAGTAAGTACAGTATAGAGTTTAGAAAGTGAACAATAAAAATGAAGAGATAGGACTCCCGAGATACGACTCTTGGGACTGAGAATATTCTGTTTAACAGCAGCTAAAATGGAAGAAGTGGCATATGAGAAAGTTATGAGACAGCAGGCTTCCTAGCGACTACGCTACAATACACCAACTGTGTAGCCCACAAAACAGAGATCATTTCTAGGCAACAGCACAGTATCACCGGCCATGGATATACCACCCTGTGCTGTAAGTGTACATAGAGCAAATAGCAGCATATTTCTGTATCTGACTGTTTGATGATCTGGACTTTGAAGGCAGTTGCCCACAATTTTTCTCAGTCTGATATGCCACAACTTAAAGATATAGTTTTTGGCATTCTGGCAGGGATATCTGTCTAGTGGTTCACTCTTCCATGGAGTTCCTCTAGAAGTGCTTCTAAGGAATTATTTGAGAGTATTTGCACATTTGTAAATCTCAATGGTATCAGTGAGTCCACTCTCTCTGTTTTCATCTGGAATAGGAGCCTTTATCACATTAAGTTTATACAACTGTTCAGTGAATAGACTTAACTTTCTAAGCTTATCTGAGTGAATAAGATGTTTGAAACCATCATTCTTGTGGCCTGTATGAGTGGACCAAAACTGGAATTCTACTTTTCATCTAACCAAGATCCAATTTGAGAAAAATACAATTGAAATAACTGCACAAAAACTGGTTACTAAGTCCCCCTTTATTTTTGGGTGTCCTCCTGACAACATTGGGTGTCCGTAGTCTACGCAAATCAACCATAAGCTAAAATCGGTCCCATGTTTCTGGATGCTGTACTATATTTCTGGAGTTAATGTGAAGCTCTTACATTGCCAGCCTTCATGAAGATAATTTACTTAGACATCTTGCATGTTACCATCATGCAGATTTTAGCGTCATATTTTATACCTTGCTATGGGACAAAGCATCTACTAAAATTATAACAGAAGCATGATTTTGGGCATTGGATGACTCAAAAAGTAACCTTGACACTGGTTCTGGCTTCCTCAGAGCCAGCTCTGAGTGAGCAGAACCTCTGATGCTCCTGTTTATGTCTGTCAGCCTGACCTCCTTGATTGGACCAGATTAACAAGTCCTATTAGGGAACTCCTATCCATGGGGAGATGGTAAGAACTGCCGATGCTGGAGTCATAGATAACAGTGTGGAGCTGGAGGAGCACAGCAGCCCAGGCAGCATCAGAGGAGCAGGAAAGTTGACGTTTCGGGTTGGGACCCTTCTTCAGAAAAAGGGTCTCGACCTGAAACGTCAACTTTCCTGTTCCTCTGATGCTGCCTGAACTGCTGTGATCCTCCAGCTCCACACTGTGTTATCTCATATCCTATGACGTCCACCTTGACTGACCTCATTACAATCAGTCCAACAATGTTCTTGGTTTTACCGAATAACCTTATTTGTTATTGTTTCTATGGTATTGGGTGATATGCCATTGGAGAGTTTTAAACTATAATAATATACTGTGACCAGTTGCAACAAATCTATGCCCACTTTTGATCAGGGTTACCTTGTTTGAGTTTGCTAATTGAATATTTTGTCCACTGCAATTAAAGCTGATTTTGTTCTGTCCTGTTAGCCACAAGCACACCTCACTGAAGCTAAATGTAGTAACTGAGCTGCTTCTCTGGATAACCTCAGCTAATTCAGCACATTCTGAACTTCAGTAACAAACCATGCACTTAGTTAGCCGTTGTATGGTCAAGCATATCTGATTCCTAATAGCTTCTTTCAGAATCATAGTACACCTCATTTTCTAGTGGAATTTTAGACCCGCATCCTTCATAAAGTGCATTCTCAGTCTTGGCACTGTTGTATGTAAGAGCTGCTTCATGGCTTGGGCAATTCTCTATTTTTAAATAAATTAAATTGAATAAAATGCTCCCCTTAGGTTGATCTTGTGTTTTTCCTGGAGAGCAATTGTAGAGTGGTGCAGCAGAGATGAAAACAGGTTAGCTTCTTTGTTTGGAGAAGGAATGGAGGAATTCAGAAATGAGATGAGCCACATTATTATGGGGGAGGGTGATGCTGAAACAACGAAACTTTATTTTTAACAATGGGTTTGTTTGCTAAACAGGTCCAACTCCTGAGGAAAGAATTGTCCAACAAATATCCGGAACTGGAAATCAAGTCTGTTGATGGTTTTCAAGGAAGAGAAAAAGAGGCAGTTATTTTATCACTTGTGAGATCCAACAGAACAGGTATGGGCCATTGGCCTTTTTTGTAGTACGATGCTGCGTGCCTCTTACACAAGAGGTGAGTCTAATGATTTTTTTTTGAAGTCTCCAACTTCTGAATGCGTAAGATTCCGAGCTTTGATAAACCTACTGATGTTGGAGTTGCTTTGCACGTAGCTACTTAGATGTAATACAGAATAAGCCTGTTCACAAAACAAAGAATTTGCATTTGTGTAGTGCCTGTCTCAACCCAAAAGTAACCTTGAAGTACTTTACAGCTAATTATGAATTTTTGAAGTGCGGTCAATATCCCAGCATTATAGACACTGTTCAGTGTTGTCATGCTGTGTGAGCTGTAGAGTAAAGTGGAGAGAAGAAAAGAATGGAAATGGGAAGCGTTGCAGTCGATGGCCTCTAGCCTCACTATCTCCAATCCAGTCCTTTTACCAGTGAAATTGGTCACTACAGCCTTCTTCCAAATCAAATTTTACAATGTGGCAGGACCTCCTCTTCTTCCAAGTGTTTGCCAGTTTCTACATGAAGACTGGCGAGTGTGGAATATGTTCAAGGATTGTGTAGATGCAACCGAGCAAAATGTAAATAGTATTAAAAGCAGTTAAGGTGGGAAATAGGGTGGAAGGGGCTATGTTCTATTGGATAGAAGTGGAAGGAAGTGTATTATAGTGTTTCAGAGATAGTAGGAACTGCAGATGCTGGAGAATCTGAGATAACAAGGTGTAGAGCTGGATGAACACAGCAGGCCAAGCAGCATCAGAGGAGCAGGAAGGCTGATGTTTCGGGCCTGGACGCTTCTTCAGAAATCAGGCCCAAGACATCAGCCTTCCTGCTCCTCTGATGCTGCTTGGCCTGCTGTGTTCATCCAGCTCTACACCTTGTTATCTCAGTGTATTATAGTGTCCTGCTTTGACTAGAGAACAGGCTTGTGAAGTAATAGGGAAGGACGGCGCATTATTTAGGATTATTTTGATGTTGAAGTACATAAAGAGCAAGAGAGATGTGAAGAGGCATCTCAGCTTGGCAATCTTTGGGAGGGTCATTCGATTTCAAGGAACCCTGCAACTTACTATGAATATCCAGCTGATGTTCTCCACTTCTCACTAATTTGCTGGACAACCCTTTGCTTGTTTAAGAATCAGCAGTCCTGTTCAATTTTCTGGTCTCAAGCAGCCAACTACTAGAAGCAGCACAATTAATACAGGTTGTTCGTCTCTTGTCTTTGAATAAAGCCCAATCATGAAAATTGTTTGGGTGTCCTCCTGACAACATTGGGTGTCCATGGTCTACCCAATTCACCCACAAGCTAAAATCAGTCTCATGTTTCTGGATGCTCTACTATATTTCTGGAGTTAATGAGAAGCTCTTACATAGCCGGCCTTCATGAAGATAATTTACTTAGACATCTTGAATATTACCATCATGCAGATTTTAGTGTCATATTTTATACTTTGCTGTGGGACAAAGCATCTACTAAAATTATTGCAAAAGCATGATATTGGTCATTGACTGGCTCAAAACTTAGGTAGAAATGGGGGAAAAAAGACAGATGGATGAATTGTTAGTACACTAGAAACAAAAGGGCAAGATATCATGGCCATTATGGAGACATGGTTATAAAGTGCCCAAACCTGGGAACTGAATAGTCAAGGGCCTTTAGCATTTTGGAAAGATACGAAAAACACACAAAACAGTGGTTTATGTCATAGCAGTCAACTCTCTAAAGCAATGCCTCATGATTGAACTGCTCCATTCTGGCATGACAATTTCTGCCATATTTGTTGCACGGAAGGCCAGTGGCTAGAAAAGACCTCTGTTTTCTGTGGGCTCTTTCCTTGACCAGTTGCGCTTCTTGTTTCTGCTTGTCTTTTCCAATATCCCTTTAAGCTGTCAGCCTCCAGAGGTCGCATCCATCAGCAGTTGTCTTCAAGTTGAAATTGTCAATTTTTTTTATTCATTCTAAGAATGAAGGTATCGCTGGCCAGGCAGCATTTATTGCCCATCCCTAATTGCCCAGAGGGCAGTTAAGAATCACCACATTGTTGTGGGTCTGGAGTCACACGTAGGCCAGACCAGGTAAGGATGGCAGTTTCCTTCCCTAAAGGACATTAATGAACCAGACAGATTTTTCCGACAATCGACAATGGATTCACAGCCAGCATAAGATTCTTAATTCCAGATATTTATTGAATTCAAATTCCACCATCTGCTGTGGTGGGATTCAAACCCAGGTCCCCAGAATTTTGTCTGATCTTGATTAACAGTCCAGCGATAATACCATTAGGCCATCGCCTCCCCTAAAGTAGGAAGTCAGGCCAAGGTGTGATTTGGTGATTAATACAATACCACAACAATCTTATCAGGGAAAGTGGTGGAAGATAAAACCAGCGTTGAGATATGCAGTGGCGATGAACACCTCAAAGATACAATACATACCTTGGCACACTTTATCACAGTTTTCAGGAGAAATCTTTCACACTTTGAAGGTGTGAAATTAAATTTGCTTCTCTACAGAATAATGGTGAAAGCCCCAAATACTGTGATCCAACTGTGCAAGAATTAACTTCTCAGCTTTGTCAGGTTGCTTTCATTATTATTGACATTTTAGAATTAAAAAGAAAACGACACATGGTTGTGACTGAGGTCATGTTAGCTCCCTTATGAAAAAATAAAAAGTGGATTGAACTTCGCTATAATGAAGCCTACAGTTGAATAGTTTGTGAATCTTCTTGTCAAGGTTCATATAACAGACACTGGTGCCTGTCAAGTTGTGCCCCAGCAAGGAGCCTTGAAGAGTTGAAGAAAATTACAGTGCAAAGCAGGAAAAGACTGTCTGGTCCATCCAGCTCATGCCAAACAGAAGTAACGCTTCCTGCATGACAATATATGCACTCCTCAACTCGCCCAAAGAAAATATAATCTCTTGGGAGAAGCAAGAAAACAGAAGCATGCAGATCTATTAAGGAGAAAGGATCTGAGGGAACAAAACATTTTTCTAACCCTCTTAAGTGATTGAAACTAGTCTAGATCATTCTGGCCCTGTGGTAATCTCCACTCATACCAGAAATTGGTTGGAAAAGAGGAAATAGTGAAAAAATGCACTATGCATATACTCAGAAACAATGAGATATTAAAATCAATATCTTTATGTTGAGAGGAGTGTAGCTTATTTTGCACGCTGCACTATGTCTGTGTAATGTTTTACACTTTTTCAAAGTCACCAACACTCCAATAGTGTTGAGTGAATCTAACGCACAATTAAGAAAGCAAATGTTCATATGCCTCAATGTGAAGTTAATCTTCTCAACCTTGTGTCTGTTGAGTAAAGTTAATTTGAATGTATTGTTTCCAGGCCTTGGCAGAAAGTAATAAATCAGGATTATTCATTCCATCAGAGATCAACACATGGCTGCACGTTATTGATCACTGCTGATCCACTGGAGGAACTGAATATTAATTAAACAAGACTTGGGGTTGGTCTTCAGGAAAATATAAAAATGAGTCTATGGTAGGGAGAACTAAAAGCTTTTAACATATAAGGGAAGCAATGTTTAAATGTCTTCAAAAATGACATTCGAATTTGCACAATTATTTTAAAATATATTTGGGTAAGTTATAGATATTCCACAATTGTACTTAAAGTAACCCAATATTTATACAATATTGTTTTAATTTCCCATAAGTCTCAGTGTCTGAAATTCAGTTTAATCCCTTTCTAAAGTAGTGTTATTTTTAAAATCTTTTGCTTTTAAAGTGCAATAACTACATTGTCACTGTACCATCACAGAGAAATATTCATGTCGACTGTTGAAAAGAAATTTTTCTCTCTTGGCTGTAAGGTTTCTCTGTGGAATACATTTGCACAGTCCTAGGTTCAGCATTCAGTAATCAGATAAAGATTACCACTGATGATTGGAAAAGAGCCAGATGGGAAATATTTTATGTTGTGTAGTCAGTTGCTATGATCAAGCATGTAATGTCTGAAAGAGTGTTGGAAGTATATTTAATGGTAACCATTATAAATGAACTGGCTGTATGCTTGAAAGGCAAATATTTGTAAGGCTATGGAGTGTAAGCAAGGTGTTTGGGACTACATGGATTACTGGGACAAATGGCCTCCTTCTGTACTGGAGCTGTCCTTGAGTCTGTGACTCGTACAATATTTGACCTTTTCTTAGCTGGTAAAATTTGATTGTCACAATTTGCAATTAGCAAGAAACTGTTCTGGACATCAATTAGTATGCAGCTAGTCAGAGCAAGCACAGTATCCATTGCTGGTGTTCGATGTTCCATTGTCGTGTAGCCATTTTTAAGTAACTGCTTAGCATCTCTGCATGACTTTGTATAATTCTGACTTCTGGGTTCCCCTGACTCCTGCAGCACATTGCCCTGATAGCTTAAGGAAAGTAGAAACTACGTTAGCTAAATATTCAAGTACAGATGAACTTGTATGGAATCCTTCGTAATTTCCAGGCATTCCAAATATAGCTTTTTCTCTGCCTGAGCTTATTTAATACTGATGCATTGTAGAAATTCTGCATTATTGGCTTGTCTCATTTTGAGTCATTCCATATGATCTCTTAATGAATAATTAGAACTTATTAGGATTGAAATTGATTTTGGGCGGTAGCACAAAGTATCAGATCAACCATTTGTTCTACATTCTGCACTGCATTTGGTGCCATCAACATTAAGAGAATTAAATATCGAATGGGGTGTGTGTCAGGAAACCAAAATGAAATCATGCCTTTCAACATTTCAGCCCAAGACCAATTTCTGCTCTGTTGGCTTTTGAGCAAGTAATCACATTTTGACTCCTGTTATCCAGGTGAGGTGGGCTTTCTGGCTGAAGATCAAAGAATAAATGTTGCTGTTACTCGTGCGCGCCGCCACTTGATGGTGGTCTGTGACACGCGGACAGTCAGCTCTCACCCGTTTTTGAAATCCCTGGTTGACTACATGACTGAACATGGGGAGATGCGAACCGCGTTTGAGTACTGTGATGACATCGTGGCTGAAAATTACTCCCGGCCAGCCCATCGGGCCGAGCAAAGGAGAGCAAAAGACTCTTCAGATACACACAAAAATAATGGGAGCTCCACCAGTGACAGGAGTGCAGCATCTCTTAAAACGCACAAACTCACACAAGACCGATCCACTCTAAAGCTTGAGTGTAAAAAGAAAATTACAAATGACAGTCATTCCCTAATTCAGAAAGACGATGCTAATACCGGAACATTAGAGCAAGCCACTAAAACTATGAATTTAAAAGATAACTCTGAGAAACTCAAGGAACAAATAATGCAATTTATGGAGGATGGTGCAAGGACTTGGTTTGAATTCCCTTCATCTTTGAATTCTCATGATCGGTTGTTGGTTCACCAGATAGCAGAAGAGTTTGGCCTTGAGCATTTTAGCATTGGTGAAAGCAAAGACCGGTTCATTGTTATATCCAAATCAGTTCTTTTGGAAACGCAGAGTTCTGTTGATGGCCAACCAGTCCACAAGATGCCAGAAGTGTGTCACAAATCCAGTAGTCCTGTCCCACAAATATCTGAGGAAAATGAATGTACTCGTACTGAAATAGAAAGGCCACAAAACTGTACCCCTTCTATTTCTCCGTCAAAGCTAGATTTAAAGGGACTGTACTTAGAAAGGATGCAGCGGGAACAAGCTAAACGAGAGCAGAAGGCAAATCAGAAACAGCTTTCTAACACTACAACTTCATTGAAGTCTAAAAGTAAGCAACATAGAGAAAAGGGTGAGTACTATTCATTGTTATTAAAATTGTTCTTAAGTTGTGAGCTACTAATGTTCTTTTAATGAAATTAAACGTGACAGATTAAGCAGTGATTACTGAATGGAAGCAATCCATTGAGAAATGGGGAAGACATTCGGTTTTGGAGGGATGTCAATATAATGTTCTAGATATTTTATAATTCTGTTGTAGCTGTTTTGTTGTTAAGAAAACAACTGGCAAGGCAATGGCCCAGTGGCTGGACTGTTAACCCACAGACCCAGGGTAATGTTCTGGGGACCTAGGTTTGAATCCCGCCACAGTAAATGATGGAATTTGAATTTGATAACTATCTGGAATTAAGAGTCTAATGATGACTATGAATCCATTGTCGATTGTTGGAAAAACCCATCTGATTCACTAATGTCCATTAGGGAAGGGAACTGTCATCCTTACCTGGACTGGTCTACATGTGACTCCAGACCCACAGCAATGTGGTTGACTCTGAACTGCCCTCTGGACAATTGGGGATCAGCAGTAAATGCTGGCCTAGCCAGCCACACCCTCATCCCCTGAATGAATAAAGAAAAAAAAACTAATAACCCAGAAGTTTGTTTTTTCTGGATCCATTTTTTTGTATTTACATATTTATTTCATATTACTTTGATGAATCTGTTTAAACTTCAAGACACAGCCGAATTGATTTTTATTTTATTACAACTGAGTTGTTTGTTTGGTTCAATATCTCACAAACTTTTGATCAGCTCCAAAAGTGGTCACTGCATGCATTGAATGAGAAATAGCAACTCTAAATAAACTAGAGTTTATCCAATACAGAAAATATATAATACTGTTGGGGTAATTATTATTTAAATGACTGCTTATGTTAGGATAGCACACAATAGTAAATCATAATGTTATAGATTCTTTAGTTACAAAACTAACTGCTGGATACAGTGCAACATAATTGAAAGGTAGTAGAGAACTTGACTATCACTAAAAAAAAACATATATTTTGCCAAACGTTTTTTGTCTTGTACTGGTGTTCATTCACAAAAAAAAGGGGTAACAACATGTAATTCTACCTGAGAAGTAAGTGCTAATTAGTTGGCAAGTAAACTCTGATTGATATAGGCATTATTTGAGTGCCTGTTTGACGTTGACTGACAGTTAACTGCTAAGCTTAGCAGTTGACTGTCAGTCAACATCAACTGGCACTCCAACAATGCAGTACAAAAATCTTAGATAAAATGTGTATTTTTGCACAATAATTAAAAGGAAATTTGTTTTGTTCGACTAATAAATCAAATGTCTGTTTTACTTGACTGGAAGTTAGGTTCAGGGCTTTCAGCTGCATTTAAAATTGATGAGGATTGCATTATTGTAAATTTTTCTTAGTGTGAACTAGAATGGTCTTGGGGTTGTGAGAATGCCTGGAATGTTTTCACTAATCAGCCAACCGAGATGTGCAAGCCATTGTGCTACTGCATGGAAGCTTTGCGACACACTTGCAGTATAGTTTATATTGGATTTTCAGTTATTTTACTTTAGTTAGGATGGGACTAATCATTTCTCTAATTGCTTTTTTAGCGGGGAAAGCCTCAACTAGGGAAGCTGCTGCAAGTAGTACTGACGAAGATTTTGATGCGCTCATTGCTGCATCAATAAAGGCGAACAGTGTTTGTGCTTTTTTAAAGTGTAAAGCAAGTATTCTAACCTTGGGGCAACACTGCATTCACTGTAACAAACACTACTGCCTCAGCCATCACATCCCAGAGGTAAGAGCAGAGTGTAAAAAAGTAAGTGCTCAGTTATTTCATTTTACAATGTTTGGCATGAAGTTGTTGATAGTAATACTGAAGAAACTGAATGGATCCAGATATTGGAACGTTATATTTCAGTAAAATAAAGGCACTTCTCCTGATGGATTTTTACATGGCATCTGAATTTTAAAAAAAAAATTCTGACCATGTGGGTGTTATTGACAAAGCCAGAATTGTTAGCTATTAGAAAGTGATTCCTTTGAACACTTAAGTCTGTGTAATGACAGAGTTGGTAGGAAGGGAGTTCTGAGAATTTGGAACTAACAATGATGAAAAAACTGTGATACAATTCTGAGTTGGAAATGTGTGTCTCGAAAGTGGTGGTGTTCTCAGGCCCCTGCTGCCATTTTCCTTCTAGACATGATGCTTGTGAGATCCTGTTGAAGAAACCTTGCTGAATCATTGCAGTGAATCATCTAGTTGGCAGACACTGCAACCAGAGTGCGTTAGTTGAGAGAGTGGAAGTTTAATGCAGTGGATGAGCTGTGGAACTTGTTATCCCCTTTACTTCCTTTCCTCCTCCCAAATCCACAAACTTCTAAAATCCAAGCTTCAGATTTCCTCACGACTGCCATGTAGTTTAATTGACCTCATTACTAGCCAAATTGCTTTTCAGGAAAGCTTTAAACCGGATCTAGCTCATGTCATGAATTCATTTTGCATTTAGAATTCTGCAGGCTTTTGCGATGGCCTCCTGTTTTGTCTGAGAGGATCTGCAGTTTATTCTTGATTTATTTAGCAGCTTCCACTGTCATTATCAAGAACAATGCAAGTTACATGTATTTCTGTCCCTCTTCCAGGTTCATGGCTGTGGTGGGAGTGCCAAAGCTCATGCCCGAAAACTCATCAGCAGAGAAGGTATTCTATATGCAGGCAGTGGCACTAAAGACCATTCATTAGATCCTGCAAAGAAAGCTCATCTGCAGAGAAGACTAGGAAAGAAAATAGAACAATTAGCTAGCCAACGAGGTGCTAAAAAGGAAACTAAAAAATAAACATTTTGGACAGTATAATTTTATGTAGATGGCCTAAATATGTGTATTTATTTTAAAGGACTTTCTTGCATTATAAAAATAATTTCTGGAGTATAATTGTTATACAGAGATGAAAATGCATATACAAATTATGAAAGCTATGCAATTTTCATAGCTTCTTAGTGGGTGTTACAAGTTGTGTAGCAATAGATGCTACTGAGGCGCAAAAGTTAATCTTCATCCTTTTACTGTCAGCAGCTGTTTACAAGCAATGGGAACTCTGAAAGCTTGCTGCAATGTAAATGATTATCCTGATTACTTCAGCAACTTATTCCATACCATCATTGGGGATAGCTGTAAAAGGACAATATCAGTGATGGATTACTAGAACAGTAATCATTAATGTTGTTCAATGTTAATCAGACATTTCTATTTCTGATCAATTGATTTTGTTTTTGGTTTAAAAACCTGCAGTAAAATGGAAAATAAAGGTACATAATCTACTGATTTCCAAATGCCTTGCTGATCAATAAATATTGTAATCAAACATTGATAATAATGCATACAATGCACTCAATATTAAGTAAAATTGTCTATTTTTTTTCCATGAAACAACATTCTTCATGCTGGATTCTTTTAACCTAGAGCATGGAATATGGAAGACACAGATATCAGGAATTATAAACTTGATCTTATTTAACCATGTAAAGTGGTCTTAAAGTGTTAATGGGTAACATAACTGTTTTAAGACCACAGATTATCCTTGGGCATTGACATGGCAAATGCGCATGCATGTTCACCAACTATCTTTACATTGATGTGCCTATTTAGCCATTTGTCAGATGAATGCATTTAATTGATTTGTATTGAAGAATAAATGGGATATTGGGAGTTAGAATCTCCTCTACTTTCTAAGACAGACCACAACAAGAAGACACAACACGGCCAGACACACTATTCACCCTAATGCACCTCAGGGACATTTCAGAGATGACAACCAAGACTACTCAGACCCCTAGGTATCAGGGTAGCCCACAAACCAACAACCACCCTGCGACAGCTACTGACGAACGTAAAGGATCCCATACCCACAACCAATAAAATTAATGTAATATACAAAAGACAATGCAAGGACTGTGAAAAACAGTACATAGGCCAAACTGGAAGGAAACTGACAATAACGATACATGAGCACCAACTAGCCTCCAAAAGACATGACCAATTCTTACTGGCCTCAATACACACGGACAAAGGAGGGCACGAATTCGATGGGACAACACATCCATATTAGCACCAGCCAAACAGAGACATGCCGGGGAATTCCTGGAGGCCTGGCGTTCCAAACGGAACTCCATCAACAAACATATTGAACTGGACCCGATATACAAACCACTGAAAAATAGAACCGGAAGTAATACCAACCACCCCAGCAAACCGAGGCACATAAATAGCAAGCGGGACAGAACACCAGCCCTTCACCGGAGGCGCAATGACGATGTTACCTAGCAGGGTGACGAAACATCTGCAATCAAACACACCGGCTCGGCGAGCAAGTCTACAACCTCAATCAGCTCTGTTGCTGTAGATCTGGAGTTGCGTATATCACACCAGGCAAAGATGGTATATTTAGTTCCCTACTGATCATTAAGTGATATTGTTCCTGTTGTATATTGTGTTTTTTTTTTGTCTTGTACTGATCCGGACAATTCATAAATACCAAAGTAAAGGTAAAATAATATTTATGCTGTAAGAGAGGAGAGTGCTGATTGGGTGGCAAGTAGACTTTAATTGGTAAGGACATGAGCATGTAATGCTAAGGCTGACTGATTGTTAACTGCAGAGCCTTGTTTAAATTTTGAAGCAGTCATATTGATTCCGATAGGGCAATGGCTGGACCAGAGAAATGAACCAGAGAATGACTGTTACTTATCTTGTTGAGCTGAAACAGATGTAGCGTGTATGCATTACCTTTCCACAAAGAACAGGGACCTGTGTGTTAACATGTGTGAATTCCAGTAACAGCACGTTTGCTACACCGCAAGCCTGACTGACAATCTTAAATGGATTGTCAGTATTATTCTTCACATAGTCTGGATTATTTAGCAAATACGGTCTAATCGCAATCACATCTCATGTTGGACACTATGTTGTGAATTTTGAGATTGCAGGCTAGTTGAGCACAGTCAGCACCTTGCTTGATGTGAGCAGCCAAAGGGTTATAGTGTTGGGTATGTTTCTTCAGTCTTTGGAATGTATGCCCTACATCTGATCAGGATAGCCGTAATGTTATAGAGTCATAGAGATGTACAGCACTGAAACAGACCCTTCAGTCCAACTCGTCCATGCCGACCAGATATCGTGAAATAATTTAGTCCCATTTGACAGCATTTGGCCCATATCCCTGTAAACCCTTCTTATTCATATACCCATCCAGATGCCTTTTAAATGTTGTAATTGTACCAGCCTACACCATTTCTTCTGGCACCTCATTCCATTCACACACCACCCTCTATGTAAAAAAAAAAAAAAAGTTGTCCTTTAGGTCCCTTTTAAATCTTTTCCTTCTCATCTTAAACCTGTGTTGCCTAGTTTTGGACTCCCCTACACTGGGGAAAAAGACCTTGACTATTCACCCTTTCCATGCCCCTCCTGATTTTATAAATCTCTATAAGGTCACCCCTCAGCCTCTGACACTCCAGAGAAAATAGCCCCAGCCTATTCAGCCTCTCCCTGTAGTTCAAACCCTCCCACCCTGGCAACATCCTTGTAAATATTTTCTGAACCCTTTCAAGTTTAACATCTTTCCTATAACAGGGAGACCAGAATTGAACACAATATTCCAAAAGTAGCCTAACTAATATCCTGTACAGCCTCAACGTGACCTCCCAACTCCTATGCTCAATACACTGACCAATAAAGGCCAGCATACCAAACACCACCTTCACTATTCTGTCTACCTGTGACTCCGCTCTCAAGGAGCTATGCAGTTGCACTCCAAGATTCCTGTGTTTGACAACTCTCCTCAGGACCTTACCATTAAGTGTATAAGTCCTGCTCTGATTTACCCTACCAAAATAAAGCACTTCACATATGCATGGCAGTAACTAACAACTGGTACAACTTAGCAATGCTTCTACCAGTAAGAGTTTACCTGCCTATCAATCGGCAGTCTTCTCTCATGGACTATAAATGTTTACTCTGGAATTCTTGCAAATTGTCCTGATTTGTGCAAGATGAGAAGCTTCAACAAATGTCTTTTTTCAGCAATACTCAAGTTGCAAACCACCAAATAGCTATTTATATTGTTGCCCTTGTTGCTTGTGTATACTATGTTAAATAAATGATAATGATGCAGAATAGGAGGCTTTATGAGAAGAAGAGTGCTAAGTTGCCATCTTGTCTGGATAACTCCTGCACTCTTAATTTCCTTATTCATAATTTGGTTGATGGAGTTGTGCTTCAGTGGAGATTTTGCACTTGACTTGCTGAATTCTTTTTTTCGAGCATTCTTTTAAATTTTCTTCCTAGAAATGTGTAACTTATCTATCAGAATAAACTTGTTTGACAGTATTATGGCATGGCCTAAAATTAGAGCTCACTGCTGCAGCAAACCAAATACGTTTCAGTTTATGTGATGCATTTGCTGTTGAGTGTTTCTACAAAATGACAGAGAAATTACTTGTTAATGTCACGGTAAATAAAATCACATTGTACATTCTGGTAACACAATGGTCTCTCACTGTTTCACTACTTAAAATCTACGTGTCACCTTTGTGTTACAGTCCCAGAATAAATTTTGCAAGGGGCAATTAAAGTTAATTTGGAATTTTAAATGGATTAGAAATTGAACATTTTGTAAATAATCAAACAATCACAAGATGTTAGCAGAAGAGATCCATTATCTTTAAGAGGAGCATCAACTTTCAACAAAGGCTGGAACTCATTATCATCACGTGAGTAATCTAGATACAACATGCTCAGCATGAAAAGTTACCAGAACCTTTGACAATTCAGTAACCTATGGGCTGTTGCATGAAATCATGGAATCTATTGTGGGAGATTTGGGCCGGACTTGGAATGACATGCTTGTGTGAATTTCATATTTTGAGATGCCATTTTTATTTTCTGATCAGGAAATGGTTTTATTTCTAACCCTCTTTTCTACTAAACCTATGTATGTTTGCAAATCAAATAGTTGTGGTGTGTCTTTAGATGTGCTCTACAACTAGAGTTGTAATCTTGAACATATTTTGTCATTTAGTTAAATGCTAGAGCTGTGACACAGAGCAAAAGGATCTACCAATTAATAGTATATCACTTGCTCAATATGTTAAAGGAAGCTGTTCTCCGTAGCATAATTTTCTTTCTGGCCTATGCAAAGCCATGGAGAGCAAGGAAAAGCTATTTTAATTTGTGACAAAATGTCTGTTTGAAGAAGAGTTTATCATACTGATAAAGCCCACTCAATAATCCTGTTTTAAGAATAACAGGACCAAAAAGTATTGAGGTAAAATGAAGATTCTGAGCACATGATACATACGTTAAATAGCTTTGGAGGAAAGGTTGCTCATCCTCCTGGATTATTGTGAAGTTTCCAGTATTCTCTGATTCATCTGGACACTGTAGCGAGTAGGTTTGCACAGGACTTTACAAAAAGTGGCATCCGGTCCTTTAAACTCATGTTTATCATAGAGAAAAGACAAATAGGTGATGGGGTTCGGAGAAACACTGTTTGGATGGGGACATCAAAATAAAGGTAGTGGGAGAACCATTCTGTTCATTCTTTGCTTACTGATCTTCATTGGCTCCTTCCAATAGCACTATTAAGAACATAAGAACTAGGAGCTGGAGTAGGCCGTCTGGCCCTTGAGCCTGCTCTGCCATTCAATAAGATCATGGCTGATCCTTTTGTGGACTCAGATCCACTTACCCGCGTTCTCACCGTATCCCTTAATTCCTTTATTGTTCAAAAAAAATCTAACTTTTTTTTAAAAAGTGTTTACTGAAGTAGCATCAACGACTTTACTGGGCAAGGAATTCCACAGATTAACAATCCTCTGGGTGAAGAAATTCCTTCTCAGTTCAGTCCTAAATCTGCTCCCTCTAATCTTGAGGCTATGCCCTCTTGTCCTAGCTTCACCTGCCAGTGGAAACATCCTCTCTACTTCTATCTTATCTATTCCCTTCATAATTTTATATGTTTCTATAAGATCCCCCCTCAATCTTCTGAATTCCAATGAATATAATCCCAATCTACTCAGTCTCTCCTCATAAGCCAACCCTCTTAAATCCGGAATCAACCTAGTGAACCTCCTTTGCACCCCCTCCAGTGCCAGTACAATTCAATCAAATTCTCGTTTGTGCGTTCAATTCCTTCCATGGTGTCACTTTTCACTATCTTTGCAAATTTCCAAGAGACGAATCCTTCTGTAATCTTCCCATTCTGTTTCAGTTGCACACCCTGATTTTAATGGTTCCATTATGGAGGGTGTCTTCAGCTTCCAAGGTCCTAAAT